ATACTGGTTTTGTGACCTCGGAGGGGCAGTTTAACCTCCTGGATTCTGGTTTTCTCTTCTGAAGAATAGGGGGGGAGAAAGAGACAGCTGCCTCTCCCATCATGCAGAATTTTAAAAGTTTTACTACTTTTATTAAAATCCAAAATCTATCAGTTTTCTCTTCCTGCAAATAGTGGGAAAAATGGAATGACCGTGATAATTTTGTCCTTCTCAGACGCTATAGGGCACTTCGGGATGTGGGAAATGAAAATGACATCAAGCGTAGAAAAACGAAGAGTGAGATCCTCACACGACTAACACCTGGGTCATCTGACCCTCCCAGAAGTTTTAACCGGTGGACATCTAAGGTATGAACAATTTCTGTTGGTGTAGGCATTATTCTGGGATGAATCCATGTGCTATTTTATGTGAGTTTTTTTTTTTTTAATACCAACCAAGAAGTGAAAAGGTGATATTCCCTCCTTCCCTCTCCATCCAAGTCCCTCTTACTACTGGCTCTTCGAGGTCTCTGCTCCCCCAAGAGACCAGCTGTGACAGACTCCTGTTCTGGTTATTCTTAGGATGGCCTTGACCCAGCCCGGGAACCTTTCTTTCCCTGAAGCCTGGCCAAGGGCCTATTACCTTAGTGACAAGGGTGGCTGCCTGAATAGAGCAGACACTAAACCATGGGAYGCTTCCACCCAGGGAGATGGCTGCCTCCTCTGCTTGAGAGCAGCTGTGAGCATCCACATAGAGACCTACGTGCTGCCCCCACAAAACACATTTGGGAGACAGGATGATCTCTAAAACTCCCCCTCTTCAAGAAAATCTGCCTGGCTTGAACTAGGTATAGAGGAATCCCACAGAATTCATCACCATCTCAATCTTGCCTTTGCCATCAGAACTTTCATTAGGATGAATGAACAACATCTATCAAATAGGTCAAGGCAGACCAAGGCTGGGCAGACGAAGCAGAATAGGCTCAGTCCTTGTGGTGCTGGACACTTGCAGAAATAATGCTGTGCGACGTGGCCTGGGCGTCCCTCAGACACGTGTCAAGGACTGTGAGAGACTGGTACTCCAAGGCCTTCTACTGAAACCAGCAGCTTCCCCACCCCCGGCCTCTGTTTCCCCTGTAGCTCTTTGTTTCTGTTTCTCTTTTTGCTCTTCTGCCCTCGCTTGTCTCTGGACTACCTCCTGCACTCATAACGGCTAGCTTAGCATCTGCCTTCTTTGCTAGTCTTTGAGTTCCACGATGTCTGCTGTCTCACTGGCATGAAGTAGGTCGGCCATGACTCTTTGCTAAACGAACATCTATAAAACAAAACGCCAGCTCAACCCTGTGGAAATGGAGACATTTGAATCTAGAGCCAATGACAGGGACAGTCRAGATTATGTAGCTCTTGACTGTTACATGGCGGCCATAGTTCTCAGGACTTGGAGTCCCCACATTTAATCCTTAGGAGAGCCTCTGTGGTAATCATCTATGCTTTGCAGATAGGTAAGCTGAGGCATAGACAAATAATCTTTCAAAGGCCGAACCAGTATGAGGTGTAGCAAGATTTGAAGGTGGGAAAAATGGCTGCTGAGAATGTGTGCTCACTGCAGTCCATGAGCTATGATGCCGTCAATTTCAACTCCTGTAATCTTGGAGGAAAGTGAGGTCCAGAGATGGTTCCTAAAGTACCTGGGTTGGGGCAGTCAGAGAGTGGCAAAGCTGGGAAGAAACACCTGTTCTTTTGTTCCCCAATGCATTGGTTCTTTCCCCTAAATTTTATTGACTTATATTGAATTTTGATTGAGTTCAAGTCTTACCTTGTCATTCCCATTTATTTGTTTATTTATTGGCACATTGCAGTTATACATAATAGTGGGACTCACGGTTACATATTCCTACATGCACATAACATGATGTGTTCGGTTTCATTCCTGAGTACTTCCTCTTTCCCTCCCCTTGKCCCTCCCTTTGGTCCCCTTCCTCTGCTGGTATCCTTCCTGTTTTCATGAGATTATCCTCTCCTTTTCCCCTCCTTTCCCCCTCTTGCATTCATATAAGAGAAAACATGCAACACTTGACCTTCTGAGTCKGCTTATTTCACTTAACATAATGTTCTCCACTTTCATCTATTTTCCCMAAAATGACATAAATTCATTTTTTTTATGGCTGAGTAAAACTCCATGGTGTATATATACACCACATTTTCTTTATCTGTTCATCTGTTAACAGGTACCTAGCCTGATTCCACTTCTAGTCTTTTGAGGAAATTCCACACTGATTTCCATTGTGGTTGTGGTAATTTATAATACCAGCAAAATTGTATATAAGTGTGTTCTTTCCCCCCCACGTCCTCACCAGCATTTGTTGTTGTTTGGATTCTAGATTTCTGCTATACTGACTGGAGTCAGATGGAATCTCAGTGTAGTTTTGATTTGCATTTCCCTGATTGCTAAAGATGATGAACTTCTTTCATACATTTGTTGACCATTTGTATATCTCCATTTGAAAAGTGTCTGTTTAGTTCTTTGGCCTATTTATTAATTGGGTTTTTATTAATTTTTGGTGTTAAGCTTTTTGAATAYTTTATATACTTAATCCTCATATTAGATTGTTTTTCTTGTTGATTTCTTGTTGATTTCATGCTCATTTGTGCTGTCACGTGGTTGTTTTCGACAGCACAGGTCTAGCATCCAGGTTTTCCTGACTATCTACTGTATGTGGTTCTCAGCCTGCCCCATGCCACCTCCCACCTCTGCTCTCCATCTGAGCAAGCCTCTTTAAGGAAGAAATGTAATCGAGCATGAATTTGGAAGGGCAGCTACAAGATAAAAATGTGCATAGTTTAATGAGCAGATGTCCTAGTATAGTAGCCAAAGATTTCTTTTTTTCATTTTTTAAAAATTTTAACTTATGATATATGACAGCAGACCAAAGATTTTTTAAACCACGTTTTAATGTATTCCTTTCTTATGAAAACAATTCACTTGGAAAATAGAGGCRCAAATTTAAAGTTTATCTATAATCTCCCATCCAAACAGAACTATATTTAACATTTTGTTGTACAACATTTACTTGTTAGCAATTAGTAATAGGATAGGCACCCTATATTCAATTTTAATTTTGCCTTATGGTATTAAGATGCCATCAGAATTTATTTGTGTGGCCACTGCATTTTTGCGTAACGTTTCATTTTTTAGATTGACAAAGATGTTATGAAAGACATGAATAAGTTCTATGAAAAAAAAGGGGATTTCTACAGGGACACTGTGGGTGATCTGTTAAAGTTCATCCGGAATATGGGAGAACACATTCACGAGGAAAAAAACAAATGGTAAGTTTTGTTTTTATTCTTGTAAATCTTGTGTGAAATGAGAGCAACTCCGAGGGGAGGGTCCCACAGCACTCGACAGTGCTGCTGGAGAGCAAGCATGAATTTGGAAGGGATGGAGCTGACCAGGCTCTTCCAGAAGTGTGGGTGGCTGGGCATCGAGTACACCCGCCYTGAAGCAGTGTGATGGTCAAACCGAACCCGCACCCAGGAAGGGTTCTGTGGAGGGCGAGAGCAACAGACGGGGGAAAAAGAGGATCAGCACAGGGCGAGCTCCAAAGACGTGAAGAAGCTTCAGGTGGCTTATTCAAACCTGCTCAGAGCTCACATGGAGGGGGCTGAGGACCAGGGACAGAGCAAGAGTAAGAAGAGCAAAGCGGCTGGGCGAAGGGCACTGAATTCCTTGCTTTTACCAAACCACTGAATTACTTACTTTTCCTTTTGCTTATAGTTTCCATAAATCTATGTTTCTGTTTCCATGTGATATTAGGTCATTTTGGAGAGAAGAAAGGTTGCAGTGTTTACAAGGTAGTTGTGGTGAGAAACTAATTTATTTCAGATCTGTGATGCATGGTTATATATTCCTAAATTACCGTTTAAAAAAGTCTCGGTAAAGAGCAATGTATCATGAAACACCTGATTCTCAAAAAAAAAAAAAAAATCCAATTCTAAATTTATATCTGTATGGAAAGAAGGACGTTTATTTTGATAAAAGAAATRCAATTCCTCTGCTGTATTTGAAAAAGGGAGATCACTGTGGTCTTTCATATTCCTTTTTAGTTTTTGTTGCACCCCACTGAACAGAAACTCGTGACTTCTTGTGTGACTAACACAGGAGATGGGACAGCTGGACAAAGTGAATGAAGCGTTATGAAGGTCTTGGTTAAATTAGCTTTTTTTTTTTTTTTTTGCCAAAAACATTAGCTGCAAACTCATACGCATACACAAAACCTTGCAGGTCAGGGCTCTTTCAGATTTGGGGATTGTACATAAGGGATTGTGGAATTGTATCCTTTCCATTTGATGAATGAAAAAAATGAGGTTCAGAAAGATCAAGCAGCCAAAGGTTGCACAGTCACTAAGGAGTTAGGAGATGAGCCTGGCTCTGTCACTTTCCCAAGTCCTTCTCCATTAGGCTGTGGAAATAAAAGAGCAGAGYGTCTCCTGGGTCCTCTGTTGTGAAGTGCTGGAGAAGATCTGGGGGCAAGCATGTCAAACCACTTGTGTTTCATTTCAGGATGAAGGAGAAAATTGGAGATCCTTCCTGTTATTTTCAGAAGACATTTCCAGATCTGGTCATCTACGTCTATAGGAAGTTACAGAACACGGAATACAGAAAACATTTCCCCCAAACCCACAACCCAACCAAGCCTCTATAACAGAGGTGGCCAGGGAGGGAGGCTGGCCAGCCCTGAATACTGAGTCTTTCAAGTTCAAAGAGCCACTTACTAGCTATGKAATTGGCAATCTCAACTCTCGGAGCCTCTTAGCTACACCGTTGCTTGTGAGGGATGAGTTGGACAGCAGTGTGTCAGTTTCCAGCACACGCATTCCACACTTTGGTCACAAAGGCAATGTATGTTCAGACTTCCCTGGTCCCTGATAGTGGGCAAGGCTTATTGGCAGGGACTGGGAGAGCATCCTGCTAAGTTTTCTCTTGTCATTTGCAACAAAGGAGGGAATGCCAAGACCTCTCAGGCCACGTGTTTTACAATGATTATCTCATTTAATTCTCTCAATGACCTACATGATAATAAACAGAACTTATTATCCCCATGGAAGAACCTGAGGCTCAGAGAGTTTGAGCTACTTGCCTGAGATCATATAATCTGCACAGAGCAAGGTATAAACGGAAGTTACTGTGATTGTTCTTTCTTACTTAGGTACTTTAAAAACTTAATTAGCGGCCCAGGGCTTTTTTGGATGAGACCCAAAAGGAATATGCCAAAAGAGTTCCAGGAAGCTCATTCATGCATTAATATTTGTAAGTCTACACACTAGTTGTATGAATTCCATTCCTATAAGCACTTGCACTGATTTTTCATGACCTTAAGAGAGTAGGTCTCAACTAGGGGCAATTTTGCTCCTCAAGGGGCAWTTGTCTGTGTCTGAAGAAGTCTTTGGTGTCACAGCTCTGGGAAAGAATGACAATATTGGTGTTTGTAGGTAGGGGCCAGGGGTTCTGCCAAATACTCTTTGGTGCACAAGACAACCCCCAACATACAACACCCAGATCAGAACATCAGCGGTGCCAAGACAGATAAATCCTGTCTTAAGGGACTCAGACGCTTTTGAACTGGCTGGAGGCCCAGGACTGTGGAGCGTGTGGAYGACCCCAGAGAGGAGTGACCCAGATTTATTTTCTTGCTGCTGCATCTGTAATGGAGCACTTCCTTCTGCCATCGGCCACTCAGGAAGTTCCCCATCCACCCTCACTTCCCTGCTCCACTCCGGGTGCTCAATACATGCTTCTCTCCACCCTGTAGTTTGATTTCCCCACTGGGATTGAAGCCCCTTAAAGCTAATGATTATCTGTTTTGGAATTTGTATCTTCACTGCTTAGCCAAATGTTTGTCCCGCCATAATGCTCAATGAGTAGCCACTGAATAATTACAATTTATTATTATTCATGTACAAAGAAGAGGCCATCTTTGCACATGAAAAATAATACTACTTTACATTTTTATGGTGCCTTATAATTTATTCATACCTATATATTATCTCATTTCGTACCCAAAATAATTTTGTCAGGTTGTCATTGAAATCCTTATTTTGCTGATGAGGACATTAAGGTTAGAAGTAACTTCGATGTACTCTAGGACATAACCAGGGAGTTGTCACTGTTTTTGAATAGGTTTTCTGACACTCAGTCTGGAGTTTTTTGCACTTGTCATCATGGTGGCTAAGTTAAGATGGAACCTTGGAATGGGAATGTAATAGTATCTTAGGTTCTTTATGAAAAGAAGGTGCCGGATAAATGGTTGTACTGAATAAAGTTAAGACATACTGGAAGAAACAAACTGAAGGGCTTTTTAAAAATGAGGGATCTATGAACAGCAAGATTGCTCTAGGTTTCAAAGTTAAGTATTGGTTSTCTGATACATAGTGAGTACTTGGATATGTCAGTCAAAATGCCCATGTGTGAACAGTGCTCAATACAATTTTGATTTGTCTTATTAAATTTGATTTTCTTTGAGTGACATTTCTACTTTAGAGACTACTAAATAAGCAATTCCAGAATGTTTTAAGGAAGGACATGTTGCTCTTTAAAGGAGCAACATGTGAAAAGGAGCCAATTTTCAGTAATTCTGGAACAACGTGGGCCCTGGGTGTTTTCATGGGGAGAGAAGGAAGGAATTAGTAATTTTATCCTCTGCTTCTACTCTCTAAGATTTTTCCATCAACACTCTGCAAATATTTCCCATTYAGTTGTCATTACCACAGTCCCTCCCTCCCCCCTCCCCTTCCCCCTCCCCCCCTTTATTTAGCATGTAGCTCATGTTAGGCCAGGTGATTGATTCTGTGCCTGAGCTTGCCAAGTGGAGGTATCAGTGACACCCAGAACATACTGGACAAGCAACATGGGTGAGATGATGATGGCAGAAGTATTAGATCTGCCACTTGCTGAGCACCTTCTCTTTTCTAGTATGAAACTCTTTTAGATGTGATGTCCAGTGGTGTCCCTGATTGTGCTCTGAGATTATTTTCGTTCTATAGAAGATACAACGAATGCTCAGAAAAGCTCTTTAAGATGCCAGAGTAGTAAATAGAGAGGCAGGATGCTAACCCAGGTCCGTGAGTCCAGGGTGTGGTCTTTCTGGATGCCAAAGAGTGAGATGGGGCAGGTGGGAGCAGTCACGGTTCAGAAGTACAAGGGCTTTCATGCTTTCCTCTGCACTGAGGTCCGAGAGGTCACATTACCAATGACGTTCACAGTGCCAAACCACTGGGTCACACCCCTGCCTTCATGAACCTCCCAGCTGCGGCTGAGTCATCAACTATTCCATTTCCCTGGGAACTTCTACAGCAGCCTTAACCCTGCACTCTCTTGTCTTTCCTTCCCCTTGGTTGGTCTGCACAGCATCCTCTGCCAGCTCCTTCTCTGTGCAACTGCTAGATATTGAGTGCTCCTTACCTAATCCTCGAGAACTTCACTTTTTGACCTTTGTCCCTAGATGATATGTTTGAGTGCCATAGCTAACATCATCATAAACAGGCAGGGGATTTCCAGGTTTTGAAATTTCACCTCCCCCTCTAGATGTGACCACCAGTCACCCTTATATGTTGTGTGTCATTTGACACTGAAAATCAGATCAGGTCCCTTCCCTGTTTAAAACCCTCCAACAGCTTCCTATTGTGGTTAGAAGAAAACCCGAACAGTTCACCAGCCAATCGGTAAACGTACTGGCAAAGTCTACAGCTCTGTGCTCCTCACCTGTCAGCTGCTTATCTTGAAGGCTTCACCGTATCTGAGGTGATCTTATCTCTGCTTTCTCTGAGTGCTGGGAGCATGGCCTCCRCGGGGGCATTGGTTTGGGGGTTCCCTCTGCTGTAACTTTAGACTGCCAGGCTCTGCCTGCTAGCTCCTATTTTCTGGGCCTCGACTACAATGTGACTTCCTTAGATAAGACTTCCTTATTCAAAGTTGCTCCCAGCCCTTATTTTTTTGATGACATTATAGCTCTAATCACTATCTAAAACTATTAAATTTACATGTTCATGTGTTCTTAAAAATACATCTGTCCCTCACCAGGGTAAGAACATGRGTTCCATATGGCAGTGATATTGTCTTATCCATTATCATATCCAACCCCCATTATCTGGTGCAACTTCCAGAACAAAAGAGGTTCTGATAAACATTTAGAGTGGGAAGATAAAGGTTTCTACAATTACAATCATTGTGTGATAACTACCTAGTTAGAAACGTGTGCTTAAGATGTATATTGAAGGTCATGTCATTTTCTCATCCTTTGTGGTTGGCATAATAAAATCCATTGGATGAGTTAATGCCCTATACCTAGGAGTCTCTGGCATATTAACCTGGTATTTTATTGAAAGAAGAGTTTTTTTAAAATATATTTTTTAATTGTAGTTGGACACAAAACCTTTATTTTATCTGTTTATATGTGGTGGTAAGGATTGAACCCAGGGCCTCGCACATGCTAGGTCAGTGCTCTACTGCTGAGCCATGACCCCAGCCCAATGAAGGAAGAGTTTTTAGACCCCAAGAAAAAAAYATTTGGAAGGTGGACCTCGAGGCGTCATGGCAGGAGGAAGGGAAGGATATTTGGGTGTTTTCTGGTGATCGCCACATGATTTCATGGAGGCACCTGCCCATAAGAGCAGCGACTCCTAAGTCCTTTACTCCCACCCCTTCCCACCCCCGGGGGATGTGGAGCCTCCAGAAAGTCCTGTCACCGACTCCTGGTCTCAGTCAAGCTCTTTCCACCAGCCCACCTCCCTCGTACATTTCAGTTTGCAGATGACATTTCTTTCTTTGGAGGCCATTGTGCTCTTGGTTTGAGGCAAAAGCTCTTCCTCATGTGCTGCGTTCAGTAGTGACTGGTATTTATACCCGTCTCCACAACTGGCCGGGGTGGGCAGAGGTCATATCCCAGCGCCTTGCCAGGTACCTGGTGTGTTCTAAGTGCATAGTGGATGCTTCTTGAATTCCCTGGAATTGAGTAGTATCTTTAAAGTTAGAGGTTTGTGGGTCCCTGTTGGAGCTAGAGCCTGGGAGACAGGTAAGTCTTGGAACTAACTAACTCTGAGGCCAACTCTCCACCCACCCCCACTTTAGGAGACTATGGGGCTTCAAGACGTTTTGGGTAAAGGGCAGCAGAACCTCTCTCCCCAGGAGATCCTGGGAAATGCAGCTTTCCTTCTTTCTTTCAATATGGAAATTTTCTCTCAGGACTGTCTGTTAGAACAGTGCCTGTTATATTCTAGATACCCAATTTTAGTTGTTGCTGCTCTTCATCACTGCAATGGAGCCAATTTGGTCTCCCGAAATTCATAGATTGAGGCCCTCACCCGTGGGATGTTATTAGGAGATGGGGCCTTTGGAAAGGTTAGGTGTAGTCCTGGGAGTGGGCACCTGTACTAATGACCTTTTATAAAGAGGAAAGAGGGCTCTTTTCCCCCCTGCCCGCCCACCACATGAGCACGTAGCAAAGAGGTAGCTGTCCACAAAGAAAATCCTCCTTGATCTTGGACTTACAGCTTTCCAAACTGACTACTAGAATCCACTTGGCTGCTCTCACCCAACAGAAKCCACCAAATCATTTGCTTGATTGCAGGGAGAAAAGGGAAACAGGACACCAGTGAGGGGGGCCCCCAAGGCAAAAGAAAGGATTTAGGTTTTTATCAGGAGAGATAAGAAACCCCTAGTTGACTGTGGGCAAGGGGTGGCATGGTGTGATTTGAATTTCAAGATACTCCGTCTTCTCTGTGAGTAGACTGMAGAGGGCAAGAGAGAAAACAAGGGCATGAATKAGGAGATCACCAGACGGTTCATGATACTGATTTGGTGGCTTCTGTTGGGAGAGAGCAGCAAAGTGGATTCCAGGTAGTCAGTTTGGAAGGCTGAAAATCCAAACTCCTGTTGTTACYGAAGCCCAAACTGACCAAACCAAGCACCTGGCACACAATGGTCTTGCAGCAAATGTTTCTGATCTTCCTCTTCTCTTCTTTCCCATCACAGGAAACAGAAACAGAAACAAACAAAACCACAAAACAACATCAATAACAACAACAACAAAAACATTAAAGAAAACATCTCCCAGTATTTTTCATTTGCTTGATTTCCAAATTGCCTATGGCCTGTATGTTTAAGAAGAGATGATACTAACAAGGGGAGGGGGAAAAGGAAAAAAAAGAAAACGGGGAAACTGAACTTTTGAGGCTCTAGGAAACCATTAACAGGATTAGATGAATATATTTATTTTTACATAACATAACATCACATCATGATGTTATTCACCAATGTTGGCTGATAAAATCTAACACAAGAATCTTGAAGTGATTTGCTATCCACAGAAGAGGGGAATTCAAAGCMGTGAGCACCATACACACAGAATCTCACCTTTTTTTTTTTCTCCTGAAAATTCTGAGTATTATTAGGTAGGAGGCTTTTGTATTTTAGAATTTCTTTTTAGTATATATGTTTTGTAAAATTGAAGCAATTGGGTGTCATTTTGTTTGTCTTAACAGCGACCCAGTGGTGGTGACTCACTTAGGGCAGAAGGTCTATATTTCTCCTATGTCAAAGTCTCAGCAGCTCAGTGGTTCAGGAAGTAGGGTGTGATACCTGCAAGGTACCTGGAGAGCAGTGTTTTCCTAACCCCAGTGTTTAAATACTAGAGACACCACCCGCAAACCAGGCCTAGCAGGGGTAATGGAGATCGTGTAGAGATGTACCAATAAAGACACAGGACACTAGGTGGGGATAATATCCAGGGAGAGGGTTAAGCAGAGTAGGGGGTTGGGTAGTCAGCTAATGTGGATGAATGTAAATATGGTAATCAGTTGGGCCTCATCAAGAAGGAAATAATCAAGCAAAAATTACAGGAAGCAAGAGAGTAAGAAAGC